AAGGATAAAATTTTCCCATGACTATTTCCATCCTTTGCCCTGTCATAGGCTAGCAAACTAGACTGATGCAGAGTAATTTGCTGAACTGGTTTGTGAAATCCCTATGGAATGAGGCAGGTATAAATAGATAGAAAAACATTATTATTAAAGAAATACCATTTTGCTTAGCCTTGAAATATTAAGTTTTTTTAACTTTTAAATTAACCAAAGTCTTTTAAAAATCATCCAATAAACTAGTAAGAACCAAATGAAAAAATATCAAAATAACCTAAGAATGCAACAATTTCATCTACTATCCAGAAGCCATGAGAGGATACTGGTGACCCTATCTACTCTCTCCAGAAAAGACTGACACTACCTTTCAGACCTAGGAAGGCTCTTAGCCACCAGGTAAGGGCAACAGATACCGTTAGGCAGGGCAGGGTGCCCCCTGCACAAGGGTACCCAATGAGAGGAAACACGCAGAGGTTGAAATTCATTCTTCCACTGCCCTGGTGGGGCACCACCCCTGAGAAAGAGAGATATTTTATCTCCAACACCCCTGAGAAAGAGAGATATTTTTCTCATTGTTTCACTGGAGTGGACACTTCCCTACAATTTGTCTGCCCCCAGGTGGCTCAGGTTTCTAATGAGCACAAAGGCATTGTATGAGCAAATGGGGATCTTGAAAATTAACGGAGAGATCTTGGAGCCATTTGGTGTTCTCTCTGAAGGCTGGGACTGTAAACTCTCTGTCTGGACTTGGGTCTTGAAGCCAAACAAAAAGTAATTTCAGCTATCTTTCCCTTCCAGTTGAAACGGATTGTGAAGACAATGGTTCAGCTATAAATGCAAAAGGAAGAAGAGTAACTTGCATTTTCTGAGGACCCACTAAGAAGCAGGAATCTGCTGAAGCTTTATCCTACTTAGTAAGTGGAAGGGGCAGGAGAGTTTTCACATTGCAGAGGGTAGCATTGCATAATGAAAACAAAACAAAACAAAACATGGGCTTTGGAGTCAGAAAGAAGTCTGAATGCTTGTGAATGCTTGCTCTGCCATTTACTAGTTGGCAACTTGAAGTGAGTATTTAACTTCTCTGGGCTTCAGTGAAGATTCCCTAAGATAATAAATGTAAAGAACTGAGCACAGTGCTGACTGGCACATAGAAGGCATTCAGCTCCTGTCTTTTTCTGCTACTACCCTGACTCCAAACTTAATTCACATTATTCACATCCTCAGCCTTGAGATCTCATTCAACAGAGTAGCACATAAGGATGGGTCCATTAGAGAGAATATTGGAGTGAGAGTTAGGAGATGTAGGTCCCAATGCCAGACATATCCTCTGTTACAGTACATTGAGTAAGTTACTCCCTTCTCCTGACTCCGTCAATAAAACAGGAGAACATACCTAGCCCTAATGCTGAAAGGAAAGAGCAAAGGAAATCACTTTTCTTGGGCACCTGCCATGAATTATACATTATGCTAAGTCCTTTTACATACTTTATATACTCTAAATCAGCACTGTACCATAGAGCTTTCTGGGATGGTGGGGATGTTTTGTATCTGTGGATGTCCAAGATGGTACTAATACTAGCCTTAAGTAGCTATTGAGCCCTTGAAATGTGGTTAGTACAACTGAGGAACTGAATTTTTAATTTTACTTAACTTTAATTCAAATTTAAATACCCACGTGTCTAGTGGCTACTGTTTTGGATACTGCAACTCTAACATTATGAAGCAGGAATATTTGCTCCCACTTAATTTATGGTAAAACTGAGGCTCAGAAAAATTAAATAACATGAAAGTTACATAAACAGTAACTAAACAAGATTCAAAACTGAGCAGTAGAAAGTTTAGCAAGGTAATACTGTCAGATATACAAGGAATTACCCAGACTCCACCACTTACAAGTTGTATGACCAAAGAAAAATAATTATAGTCTCTAGAACTCACTTTCATCATCTATAAAATGATGATAATCATCACCTAATTTACAGGCCTATTGTTGGGATTAATGTGTATAGAGCTATACAGTGTGGCCCATAATAGGCTTTCAACAACTGTGTTTCCTCACCACCTTGATTTCTCTCCCACACTTAGATAAGGTTCAGACATAAACTAAAAAAGAGAAGTGTAGAGAGAGCATTTGGGAAATATAAAAGCAAGAAGGAAAATACTCATGAGCTTTACATGATATCTTATTATAGAACAGATATGTGGGAGGGTATGAAATCATCAAAATATTTCCACTTATTTGGTTTGCTTTCCTGCCCTGTTCTTGGCGCTCTAGTCAATGTTATCCAAAGCAGGGAACAAGGTATCTGTTACATATTTTGAGGCCCAGAAAGACAAGCTATTATAGCTGAAAAACAGAGTACTGTCAGGGGCCTGGGCTTGAGAAGCAGGTAAAGTTCAAATCCTGACTCCCATACTTGTACACACCAAGAAAACAACTGAACACCTCTATACGTTATTTAATCTTAAAATGGGTCTGATAACATGCAGGATGCTGTATACCTGAAACTAATATAACATTGTATGCCAACTATACATCAATGAGAAAGGACAAAAATTTTTGATAAAATATGCAGGGTGTCTCAATAAACAGATCATTTATTACCTCGCTTTACATTCTGTAGCACCCTCTAGTGGAGTGTACAAAAATCAGCATGGCATTTCTGCCTTCCAAAACCGTGGTTTTAAACTTCAGTGTACATTGGAATCACCAGAAGAGTGTAACACAGATCACCAAACCATAGGATTTCTTATTCATTAGGCTTGAGGCGGGGCCTGAGCATCTGAATTTCTGACAACTTCCCCCAAAGTGATAGTAATGCTAGCGGTGTGTCTCAAAAACACTCTTTGAGAACCACAGCTCCAGATCTCGCCCCTCCCCTCTGTGTGTGCATGAGCACATATGCAGGCACACAAATGTGTATGAATGGCAATTGAAAGATATACTAATTGTTGTTTTTTGAATTTTATTCATACCCATCTAATAAGGATTTTGTGAGGAATAAAAAAATATCCATGTAAAGGATATAACACAGCATCTAAAATATAGAAAGCATGCAAGAAAATGGAGTATCACAGAACATAAATCGTTTGCCCAAGGTCTCACAGCTAATAAGTGGGTAATCAAAATTAGGTCTCTAACTCCAAAGACATAACAAAGTGTAGCCATACCACTACAAAAAATAGGGTGCAAACACACATATTTAATAAAAATTTCAAGAGAAAAAGATCAGTTTTCCATAACAGGGTCCAAGTTTTTATCTGTCTTTATTGACTAAACAGCCACCTATATTTTCCACTGGGGAATGTTGTTAGCATTGGAAAAGAAGATGCACAGAAAGGATTCAGATCATCAGCAACAGGGCCTGGGGTCACTCATCAATTCTGACCCCCCCAAAAAGGCAAGGAGAGGACTGGAGGGGGGAATTTTTTTTTTAAGAAGCAAGGAAAAACATTTGGATCTAGGGCCATAGTCCTCTGCCTGGTTGGGCTATTTTCAAAAGTTGATTTGATTTTTTCCTTAGCAATTAAAGGTATACGTGATCCCTATACATTGTTTGTGGAGTTCAACAAATCAGGAAGAGGGGAAACAAAATCCCATAATTCCAGGAACTAAACAGCCAATCCTTTGCTGGGATTTGGTGGCATCTAGTGGCAGACTCAAGAGGTATAAACCTCACCCAGAGAACTTTCTGGAAAACTAGCTGTGTGCGTACTTGCCTGAAGGACACTGTGCTTGGAGATCAGGACAAAAAGGTAAGAGAGCCTAAGCCCCTACAGAAATTCGGAGTCTGTGTGTGTGTGTGTGTGTGTGTGTGTAAAGAGAGAGAGAGAGAGAGAGAGAAAGAGACTGGAGGGGAAAGCTATCACATTATATTACCGGCAGAAAATTGTGTTTGTGCCAAGAGAATGGCAGGCCACTTTGGGTGGGGGGGGGAGGATACCAGGGAACAGGAAAGAAGCTGCACCTTGGAATTGCTAACATGGGGATGGGAGCGTTTGGCTCTTAACTATTGGAAGGCTATGGTTTAGAACAGGATTTTGGCAACAGAGAAAAACGTGGGAAGAAAGAGTATTTTTAGGGTCTGAAATTAAACCGCTAGGAGAGGCCAAAATATTTCTGGCAAAGCCTCTTTATTGGTTATGGTCGCCTTGACTTACTTTCCTTTTCATTAGAACAATTTTCAAACTTATACAAAAGTAGAGACCATTCCGTACACAGCGCGCGTGCACGCACACACGCACATACACATGTGCGCGCACACCCATGCACGCCCCCGTCTGGGACACACACCGGCCCCAACGCTGTGTCCCAACGCTAGGGGCGCACGCCTGCGCACACCCACCACCACCGACGCCACGAGGGCTGCCGCGCATACATCGCAACCCCAAGGCTACGCGAGCTCGCCCGCACACAGACAGGCCCCAACACCACGCCCCCACACACCCACCACCCCAACTCACACACACATTAAAACCCCCGCTCCGCTTTTATTTTTCTTTACTCCGACAGTTGCGCAAGAGGTTGGGGGGCGTGGCCCCAAATTTGACCTCGCGCTTCCCCACTCGCGGGAACCTTAGCTCATTTCCGCCCATCCTGTTTCCGCAGGCCACGTAGACACTTCCTTTCCCAGTGGGAAAAAAAAAACCCATAATGCCTCCCTGCAGGAAAAAAAAAAAAAAAAAAAAAAAAAACCTCTGGTCAGGGGAACTCTGGGTCGTGAAAATAGGCCACGTGAACACCCTGCCCTATAGACTTATGACCCAACGGCTGTCGCGCTTTTGGAGGGCGGGCTAAGAACCTAAGAGGGCGAGCGTCATTGGCCAGAGCCCGCACTAAAGGAGAAAGATGATTGGCTTGCTTCAAGCCTTAACCGTGAAGAAGCAGGTTGCTAGCACCCGCCTTTACTGCGGCGAAGTGTCATCGCTGACGTGTTAGGCCTCGTCCAATCATTTGGTTATGGAACATTCTAAAACTTAGGCAAGACGATTGTGATTGGCTGGAGGCTATAAGCCCGCCTCCATGGTGACGTGTCTGCCTATGGATATCAGTTGCCAGAGAAACCTGGCTTTACTATGGCGGTTGGAGGGACGGCAGTGATCACACGTCGGCTGCTGGAAAGAACTGGATTCTCGTTTCAGGTTTCGGGGTGGGGGTGGGGTGAAAGGGTTGACGATTTCTTTTTATCGTCGCATATATTGACAGGATTAACTAATGGTTTCACAGTTGGGCAGAGCTGCATTCAAATTCCTCCTCGCCAACGCCCAGCTTGGGCTGGCTCCTGTTCTTTCAGCGTCTCGGTTTCCATGTTTGTAAAATGGTGATAATAATAGTATCTACCTCAGAGACGTGTACCTCAGAGGCTCGTACTGTGTGTTAGTGCGTATAAGGCACTTAATACCAATCCTGGTTCCGAAAGCTATTCGCTGTTGTTGTGGAGTGAAAAACCCGCATAACAGAATGAGAAAAAAACATAAATTATGTAAAATCGTTCATTATAGTGTTTTTCCTGCCCATCAAATTCTTTCCTATAAGAAATTCGACCTATAAAAGAGACACACCAGTCTTTGCCGGTGAAATAATTTACTACTTGAGAATTAGTTCGAAATAGCGGGGATTGGAATTTTCCATATTGAAAAGTTTAAAAGGCGGGGGTTGGGGGGAGATGGAGAACGAGAGCGATCAAGAGATGAACCACATGCGATGAGTAGGCCTTGTTTGGATCCTCATTCGAACACACCAACTAAAAAAAAAAAAAAGCTGTTTAAGATGCATCGGGAAAATTTGAAGACGGGTTTGATGGTTTTTTAAGGAATTGATGTCGATATTTTAGACGTATAATGGCATTAATGGTTATGTTTTCAAATTATCTTGTAGAGATAGGAAAATATTTGCGGATTAAGTAATAAAATGTCTGGGAGTGACTTAAGATACGTTGATGACTGGGATTTGCTTCAAAATAATCTCAGCGGTAGGGGGAAGTGGGGAGGGGTATAGATGAAACAAAACTGGCCCTAAGTTAATAATTGTTTGAGCTGAGTGATGGGGCATATGGGGTTCCTTATATTATTCCGTCTTCCTTGGTATATGTTTGACATTTTCCATAATAAAATGCAGAAAATCAGCTATTCGGTGAGCCTAAAAAAATCGGAGTGGGGGGGAGCAGTGGGTGGGGTTATAGATGAAACAAGATGGCCTTCAGTTGGTAATTGTTGAAGCTGGGTGATTGGTATAGGTTTATAATACTCTTCTTCTACATTTTTATTCATTTGAAATTATCCTTCATAAAAAGTATAAAAAAGACAGTTACTTTATCAAAAATAAAGATAAATGCACAATACAGTAATTTTGAAAATAAAACCACAAGAAAGGAAAAAGAAACATTTGTACATTGTTTATCAGCTGTGGTGTCCTTTGTGTGTGATAAAATGCATTGGTTAATGGAGGAAAAAAAAGGATCTCATATCTTTTTACTTTATGTCCTTTTCTGTCCCCTTCTTTGACCTTCCAGGCCATCATCAGAAAAGCTAAGTTTGCTGTATAGTAAGGATCAGAAGATCTGATCCAGGTTGCAGAACCATCCCTGATTACAGAATCTGGGTAAGTGCCTCCCTTCTCCTGGCCTCAATTCTCAAACAAGATAATTCCACATAACCTTCCTAACTGTCCAGGAATATTTTGAAGATTAATAAGCGGCTATCTGGGAAAGCACTCTAAATTCTAAGAAGGAAAGGATGGGTGCTTCCAGTATAGCAAGTGCCCAAACAACAGAGGACTGTATAATCTTACATTCTTTGATAAAAGATGCTACAATTGATACCCTAGAGTTAGTTCCATATATATGTGTATATATATGTATAATTCTTTTTTAAAAAAAAATTGTGGCATCTCATGTATAGCATAATTTAGTGGTTGAAAGCAAATACTGACTTCCTTAATTTGAATTCTGTCTTTGCCACTTACTATGTGATCCTGGGCAAGATACTTACCTCCTTTTGTCCCTAAATTTCCTCATGTGTAAAATAAAGATGATAATAGTTCCTTCATAGGATTTTTGAAGGGATTACGTGTAAAGTACCAGGATAGTGCTTGGCACATATAAGTGTTTGCTTTAATAATGATTACGGTTCTTAGTCCTTGTGGTACATCCTGGTTTACCTACCCACACATACACTCTTAAACTTCTAAAAGCAGTGGATTCTTCTGTTCGGAAATGTAAAAAAATTAATACTGTTGGTTTTTTTCCTGATTTTTCCAGAAGCAGCAGTTACCACTAGAACTGAATTCTGAAATTATGACTTCTGGCTTGTCCTAACAATCTAGAAAGATACTGAGTATATTGATCGTATTTATTTACAAGGGAATTTCCAGGAGCTATAATTTTAACTAGGAAATCATAACCATATTCAGTCTGCTAACAGCTTTTGTGTCATTCCTCCTTTGTCTCAGACTCAAAAAATATGTTAAACATAAAGGAAGTGTTCCAAGATCCAGAAGAGAATGGATATAAATGTAACTGGCATGGTATATGTGTATTTAAAGGTTTATTCCAACAAACCATAGGAGATGTTGTTCACACTTCATTTATGACACACCCATACCAAAATGTTAGCCTTTGGAGTCTGCATTCCTAAGTGGCCCATCACTTGCATGAGGGGATGAAGGAAGGTTTTTTCAGTGACTTGAGAGCTTCATTTTCCAATGGAGTCACTATATTTTCCTTCTATTTTTTTTTTTTTCTCTTCTGAAAGCTGGGTTGCAGAGGAGGGCACTGCCCTGGCGGAAAAGATGCAGTAGATGGGTAGGCACAAAACCCCTTTGCAGGAGGCCATTTGGAGAATGATTAAGGGCAAAAGGGAGGGAGTGGGGCTGTTAGGCCAGTAGGAGCTCAGAGAAGGCAAGGTCCAGAGTATCCTGAAATGGAGAAAGCCTCAGAGAGGAAAAGGACCTTGACCTGCACCTCCAAGAATGGGCAGAACCTAGGAGGGGGGAGGGAAACCAGTCTGAATGGTATGCCTACAAAATGTATTATACACAGTGATAATTTACTGAGAAGTCCAGCTGTGTGAGATCTAAGGATAAGAATAGATTAGAAAATCATTGAATATGTGTATTTTAATACAGATTTTGTCATGTAATTGGTATGTGAATATATTATCCTTATAATGAAAAGTGTAAATATTACAGAGTAGGCTCAGGTTTCAATTTCTTCGCCTCCAATCTCTTACTCTTTCCAGAGTTAACCACTATTCTCAGTTCTATTTCCTCCTAGATCTCTAAATTATGTACCTGTTTAAAAACATACATGGATATATATATAAAATACGTTTTGTGTTTTCTTTTACATAAATATGGTATCACGCTATAGGTATTGTTTTTGCAACTTGCTGTTTTTATTCAGCGAATTATCTTGGATGTCTTCATGTCCATTCAGAGCGTTCTTTTTGATTCCTTTTGCAGTGGCATTGTTTTAACTAGCATGATAATCCATATTATGGATAAACCACATTTTATCTTTCCACCAAATCACTAGTGATAGACCTCCAGGTTGACTCCAGTATTTGCTACTTCAAATATTGCATCAAACATCCTTGGAAACCATTTACAAGTGTTATTCTAGGGCAACATTTATGTCTTTATGATAATTAAACCAATGTGATACTGGTGTGAGAACAGATACCACTATGACAGACCAGGTGACCTAGAAATAGTGATAACCTTTAACAATTGAATAATCAGAAATCATTGGGAAGAGAGTACCTTAAAAGACCCATGTACATCTAGGAATTTAGAATGTTCTATAATAGCATTTCAAATCAGTGGGGAAAGGATGACCGCTTTAATAATTAATATTAGGAAAAGTCACATATTTGGAAGAAACTATAGAAATACCAAGAAATACAGGAAATCATTTTTAGAATATTGATTTGGGAGCATTTTCCCTGGATGTGACATAAATGCCAAAGTTCACAAAGGAAAAGGTTGACATACTTGTGTGATTATACACACACACACACACACACACACACACCCAGACCCAGACCCAGAGAAGGAAAATGAGTTTGGAAAAAATGTTTCCAACATACCCAAGAATACTTAGGATTTAATTCTTAGAAATCAGTAAAGGAAGCAAACAACCTAGTGTAAAAAAGAACAAAAATATTCACATAAGCAAAACATACATGAATGTGTGAAAGATGCTCAGTGATATTAACTACATACTAGATAAGCAAAAAATTGTTTTCCAGAAGATGTTTATCCCATGTTGCTGAAGGTGTAGGTGAATGAACTTTAACATTTTTGCTGGGAGTACAAATTAAAGTGGTTCTTTACAAATTGAATTTGCCTCTATCTCATCAAAGTTATAAGTATACCAATCCTTTGAACAGTTCCACTTCTGAGAATAGTCCTGAAATCCCTAATGCTCTAATATATTTGTACACTTATGACTATTACAGCATTTCTGTAAAAATGAAGTACTGGGAACAACCTAAATGTTAATAAGGGACTGGCTAAATTCTGGCACATAGAGATTATAGAGTAATGTGGATATTAAAAAGAATGAGCTAGGTATGTGTGAACAGAAAGATGCCCATGACAAAACGAGAAAAGGTGTGGGGCAATATGTCTCACCAAATCAAATACAGAATACACATTTAGTTTTAAAGGTTGTATATGGTATGAATATGCACATAGGATTTGAAAGCTTACACAGTCATTCTGGGATTGGGGAGGGGAGGTAAAGGGAGAATTCCCCCATCTTTATGTATTTTGGAATTTATACATATGTAAAGATTACCCGTAAATGGTACCACAGAATTAACTAGTTGGGGAAAATAATGCAGATTTTCAGTTTGTAACTTAGAAAATAAATTCTGGATGGATTAAGAAAATATAAAACCTCCATTAAAATGACATCTTTTAACAGTGGAAGGGGAAACTAACATTTCATTATATAAAACTTTAAAATCTTAACATCAGGCACTATAAAAAACACTAGGGGAAATACAACTCTTGGTATATAAAGAGCTCCTATAGATGTTAAAATCACTAAGAATCAACTGAATGGGCACAGGACAAAAGCGTATGTTGCCAATAGAGGCTTTTTAAATGTTAAACATCTCTAATAAAACAACTAGACATTTTATCAAATTCTGTAAATGAGCCTAGCCACTGCTGACCAGAGTACAAGTGATAGTTTTACACACTACTTGTAAGGTTCAAAACTGGTACAGCTTGGGAGGAAGTTATTTGGCAACGTGTTATTATCTCTTGACCCACTAAATCTGCATCTGGAAATAATAAAAGGAAATGACAAAAATGCTGTAATAGTTTCTGCAGGGTAAATTGAAGAGGAATCACTTTCCATTAAGGGTGTTTAGATTAAGGTATGACCATTGATGAAATACACAGCTCTCAAGATCTACATATATTATGTTACATGGGAAAAATAACTAGTTGTGATACCACGTTTTTTAAAAGGGAAGGTTAAGATTTGATAACCAGTATAAGCTCACCTCTGTTTAAGCATTTACACAGAAATTTAGAAAACTAGGGCAAACCTACGAATGTGTTTTCTCAGCGTCTGGCCTACCCCTAGAGCTGACCTGTAGAAAACAAGTGGGAAAATACTTGATGACTCGTCCCTAATTTGTGCCTCCATTTTCTTCATGTGTTGAATCACTTCCTCACTTTGAATCGCTATTGTATACCCACCAGGGACCTAAGTGCTGCTCCAAAATATATGCTATATGTGTAACACAAGACCTGTGGCAAATAGATTAATGGTGTGGTTCTATAAGCAAAACTAACATGAGACATTTAAATATTGAACTCTGAAGTAACATCCGCTTCGTATGGTATTGGAGATGGGAGAGAAACACGGATTAGAGTTGGAGATTTAAGGAGGAAAGAAGACTTCTGTGGTATTTAGATGGAGACAAGGGAGAGCATGATGGGAGCAAAGAGTAGGTATACTAAGCCAGTAAACAACCGTTATAAAAGCCTGAAACTGAAGACAAGCTGGCAAACTCAAAAGTTTAAAATGGCCCCAAATTAAGTAATCTATAGTGCAAACTTCACTGTCACTGATCATGGAGCAGTGTTAAGCTGGGAAGGGAGGTACAAAGTGGAAAGCTACCCAGAAACTTGTGTTACAAGTAGGAGCCAGACATCAAAAGGACAGGTATTCCCTTCTTTTGATGTCTGGTTTCTGACTTCCAGGTAGTAATAGTTGCTTGTTTGATCTGTAGGATACTCAGATGAAAATAAAGGTACTGAGACAACTTCTATAAAGGCTGTTTCCGTGGCTTTATTCACTGGTCACAAACCTTGACTCGTGCAGGTATTTTTCTGTATAATGTCAGATATTTCATGGAGACTTTGTAAGAGTGATAGAATTTGTAGAGAATGACAGAGCTCACCCAGTTAATTAGAACCAGGTAGAATTCCTTTTTGTAGTTTTCCTATGAATGAATATATGAGATCAATGCCAAGGATGTACAGTAGGTTCAGCTATCATTTTCAAGTTCCTCCTCAGTAAGGAATTGCTGATGACTGTAAGACTTCCAAAATACTGCCCATCCAGCCTGGCCTCACTTCTGTTATACACAGTCTGGCTGGCACTGAGCCATCTTGGTTTCTTTAGTTGGTATTTTAACTATCCTAGTGGAAGCTCTGCACTGTATTAACTCTGAGGTGGGTTTTCTGAATTTTGCCTGTATTACTTAATTCTCTGATACCCTCATATACCATGTCCCCTCTGTCGGGGGCACAATGAATGTTCGTTTAGAAACATCCTTTTTGTAAGCTTCGATAGCTTACAATGTAATGCCATGACATACTGGCCACTGATCTTCACAGGATGTGTCTGTTTATCCCTCTCAGGAAGGTGTCTGATTCCCACAGGGTCAGTATCCGTATTCACAGATTTTGATGCTCTCTTGAGGGAGAGAGCCCTTTGCCCTTTTATTTTTTACTCAGATCTTTGTGTCCTTTTAGTGAGAGGATCTCATTTGGTTAGTGAAAGCTCTGGCACTCAGGCCTCTCTCCCCAGTAACTGCTTTCTCTGATTCAAGGCTCTGGTTGTCTAGCATTTCTTACCTCTTATTTCCCCCCCTAGGGCTTCCCTGACGCCTGCTTACATCGTTTTAAGGGCTAAGGATTGGCTGAGGAGCTTTTTATGTGGGTGAAAGTCATAGTTATCAGAGAAACCTGCTTTAAGTCTGATCCACCACCATCCCTCATTTTTTCCCAGCGGTTACCCTGATTTTAACAGTGTGGTATTGATTCATCTAGATACTTTTCCTATGCATTTATACGTATCAGTTTAAAACAGGAGTTTGATCACACTCACTACGTAAGAACTGTATAGGACTGATAGTTATTTCTCGACCTGTGCTATCTCTTCAGTATCCTATTGTACATATTATGCCTTATGCCTGTTTACCTAATAATGTAGACTCAAGCATCTTTCCATATTCATTCGTGGTTCTCTGCTTAATTCATTTGAATGTTCTTCCAGAGTGTGCATACATAATCTGTATTATGAATATATAGGTGTTTCCAGTTCTTCAATACTAAGAGCACCACTGCAGTGAACATCTTTGTATCCATATTCACACGTATTCCTGCAAGATACTGTGCTGTTTAGCCAAATTGTATTTATAAAGTTTTTAAGAAGAACCTGTGAAGTCAAGGGATAGTTTTGCCTCATTCCATAGATGAGGAAAAAAAGGCTAAGAGAGCTTACATACCTTGCCCAAGTCCTCACAATTCATAAATGGCAGAGACTAATTGAAGTAGAAGTATGTCTAACAGTGGAGCTCATATATTTTCTCTGATATTACAGTCAAAAAAGTACGGGTTTTTTTTTCTGTATTATTTCATAAAAGTTCATCTTCATTGTAGAACCTGTTTTCCTTTCTAGGTTGTGTCTCCCACCTCATCCTTCCAGACCATCCCAGGAGATCTAGGAGGTTCCATCTGGGAAAACACTAGGAGTTCTTGGAAGGGAAAGAAGGAAGAGGATTATGTAAGTCAAAAAAAATTGCTTCATCTGTCACACTATAAGAATCATAGAACACTATTTTTTCATCTTTATCTCACAGTTCTCTCTGCTGCATTTTATACTGAGTATTATTCCTTGCCCATCTTAAAACTCTCAACTTCCTTGGCTTCCAAAACAACATTCTCCTAATTCTTCTATGGGTGCTCTGACCATTTTTGTTTTGTTCTTGGTCTCTCTGCTCACCCCTTAAATATCATTCTTTTTAGGTTTTTCCAGAATTTCATACTTTGGTGCAGTTTTTCTTCCTCTTCTCTCCATGAATGATTTTGATGGCTTTCATAGCTTCCAGTAGCAGCTGTATGATGATTACTCTCAGATCTCCATTTCTGGCTCTGACCCTCACCTGAGCTTTAAAGTTAAATGTCTAACTGTATACCTCACACTTCGTAGATCCAGTACTGAACTTCTTTCCTCTCTAATCCACTTCCTCCTTCTTTAGATGCACTCTCATTTGGTGATAATACTAATGACCTAATCACCCATTCTCAAAACCTGGGAATCAGCACTGACTTCTCCCTCACTGATTTATCACCTCCTCCAACAAGCTAATACTGAAAGCGGTGTCATGTACCATTTCTCATGTGCTCCAAAGTACTCTGTGCTTATAACTGTCATTGTACTAACCTTGTTTTTTTAATTGCCACTTTAGATATTTGAATCCCTAGCACCTAGCATAGTACCTGTCCCAAAACAAATATGCATTAATGTATGATGACTAATTGAATGGATGAATTATTTCTTTCCTATTACTTTATTGCTGATTCTAAACTAACCATTAAAATCAGTGTTTTTATTAATTCATTAATTACCTAGGGTTAAAATTACAGAGCCACCTTTGACTTCTCCCTCTTCATTTACCAAGTTCTGTATTCGGTTTCTCTTGACTCTGTCATCACCCTAGTTCAGGCCTACCTGGACTCCTACAAAAACATTTACTGTTACTCATTTTGCCTCCAGTCAACTAATCTTTCTTATTTCTTTCATCTTGTCATTTCTCCTGTTCAGAGTCTTTAATTTCAATTCTGCTGCCTTCTGCAGTTTTATTCCATTTAATTCATTCTTTTTCTAAAATTATATTCCTGTCTTTTGAGTGGCACCAAAAAACTAACTTAATGGGCAAGTCCAATGAGTGATCGGATGGGAGGGTGAGAGTAGTGGTTGGTAGTGACGATCAAAGAGAGGGTGGAAGTAGTAAGTCACTTACAGATGATCCTGAACTAGGATTTGAAATCCAAATTCCCAGAGAATAGTTTCTGTTTTACTTTGGTGGGCCTTTAAGAAGCAGTGTGTGTTAAAGGTCACAATAGAAAACAACCAAGTAAAATCCTTTATATATTACAGTGGTTGGAATAAAAACAGGGTTGAATGAGTTCCAGAAAGCAGGGGTCTCAAACTCGTGGACAACAATCTGCAGAAGAAGACAACTTCAAAAAACCAACTAGAAGCAATATGCAAAGAAGTAAGATGAGAGGGGCCTCCTCAGGAAAGAAGACTGCTGGTCCACAGCAGAAGAATCTGGAACCGGCTCTCCCAGGCAGATGGGGGGGTCGCTCTGCAGAGAACCCCCCTTCGGGATCCGTGAGGAAGACAAGAAAGAACAAGCAGAAGACTCCTGGAAACGGAGATGGTGGCAGTACCAGCGAAGCACCCCAGCCACCTCGGAAGAAAAGGGCCCGGGCAGATCCCACTGTTGAAAGTGAGGAGGCATTTAAGAATAGAATGGAAGTTAAAGTGAAGATTCCTGAAGAATTAAAACCATGGCTTGTTGAGGACTGGGACTTAGTTACCAGGCAGAAGCAGCTGTTTCAACTCCCTGCTAAGAAAAATGTAGATGCCATTCTGGAAGAGTATGCAAATTGTAAGAAGTCGCAGGGAAATGTTGATAATAAGGAGTATGCGGTTAATGAAGTTGTGGCCGGAATAAAAGAATATTTCAATGTGATGTTGGGCACTCAGCTGCTCTACAAATTTGAGAGGCCCCAGTATGCAGAAATCCTCTTGGCTCACCCTGATGCGCCAATGTCCCAGGTTTATGGAGCCCCACACCTACTGAGATTATTTGTGAGAATTGGAGCAATGTTGGCATATACGCCCCTTGATGAGAAGAGCCTTGCATTATTGTTGGGCTATTTGCATGATTTCCTAAAATATCTGGCAAAGAATGCTGCATCTCTGTTTACTGCCAGTGATTACAAAGTGGCTTCGGCTGAGTACCACCGCAAAGCCCTGTGAGGGTCTACTGACCACTCACTGTTAACGTCTGGTATCTGTAAACACTCTTTTTGTTCTTAGTCTTTTTCTTGTATAATTGATGTTCTTTAAAATTGTTAATGTATAACAGGGCTTATGTTTCAGTTTGTTTTCTGTTTCGTTTTAAACAGAAAATGAAAGGAGTACAAGCTCCTTTTCTCATTTCAAAGTTGCTACCAGTGTACGCAGTAATTAGACAAAGAAGAAACATTCAGTAGAACATTTTATTGCCTAGTTGACAACATTGCTTGAATGCTGGTGGTTCTATCCCTTTGACACTACACAATTTTCTAATATGTGTTAATGCTACGTGACAAAATGCCCTGATTCCTAGTGCCAAAGGTTCAACTTAATGTATATACCTGAAAACCCATGCATTTGTGCTCTTTTTTTTTTTTTATGGTGCTTGAAGTAAAACAGCCCATCCTCTGCAAGTCCATCTATGTTGTTCCTTAGGCATTCTATCTTTGCTCAAATTGTTGAAGGATGGTGATTTGTTTCATGGTTTTTGTATTTGAGTCTAATGCACGTTCTAACATGATAGAGGCAATGCATTATTGTGTAGCCACGGTTTTCTGGAGAAGTTGATATTTTAGGAATTGTATTTCAGATCTTAAATAAAATTTGTTTCTAAATTTCAAAGCAAGTAACTTGCAGTGTGCCTTTAATATTACCGAGGCTGACAAGTCAGCAGGCTCAGGAAAGGTCTAGATGGTATCAGAGAGTTCTGACTTCCAGTGAAAGAATTCCTTTTTCTGTTGGGTGTGGCAGCCAGGAGTATGCTGTCATGCCAGTTCCCCTCCCCTGCCTTCTCACTGTGGCTTCTCAAAGTGTGATCGCTTTCTAGTGCTGCTTAGAAGAGGCGGTTTTGTTCCTGATGCACCTTGCCCCTATGTAAGTTGGGCTGGTATAACAGAATATTTAGTGGGTACTCTTAACAGTCCCTTACACTTGTGCAGAGCTTTGCTCTTTCCCACAAAAGGAAGCATGGACAGCCACCTTCAGAAATACTTGTAGAAATACCACTATCAGAAATACTTATAGATTTTGGACCAAGGATGGCCACTTACCCTGATTCCAACATTGAGGTCCTGTTCTGTTTTCATAATCCCTTAGACATAACAGTGGGAATCCAGAGTAGGGGATTTGTGGAGGAGGGTTGATGTTGGAGGCCTATAATTATAAATCCATTCTATATGGAAATTTCCCAAACCAGGTTTTGTCCCATGATAGTGTTTTTTACTTCTTTAGCGTGCAAAAAAAAAAAAGTATTCCATGTTACTGCAGAAATTTTGGAAAATACAGTAAGAACAAATCTAGAAATGAGAGTCCTGTATAGGGGCACCTGGGTGGCTCAGTTAGTTAAGCATCTGCCTTCAGCTCAGGTCAGCATCCCGGAGGCCCGGGATCGAGCCCGCATGGAGCCCCCTGCTCAGCAGGGGGTCTGCTTCTCGGTCTGCCCTTCACCCTGTTCTGCCCTTCACCCTGCTCTCACTCTCAAATAAAATCTTAAAAAAAAAAAAAAGTCCTGTATAATCCTACTGGATCAGTCAGGGTCCCAGCAGGAAATAAACGGGACTCAAAATAAGATGATTTGAGAAGTTTAATAGAGAAATTTTTTTCCCAAGTTGTCAGCAGAGGAGTAAAATCATGGCGTGTATTAGTTTGCCAGGGCTGCCACATCAAAGTACCACAAACTAGGTGACTTAACAGAAATTTCTTTTCTCATAGTTCTGGAGTCTAGAAATCCCAAATCAAGGTATTGGCAGGGTTGGTTTCTTCTGAGGCCTCTCCTTGGCTTGTAGTTGGCTGCCTTCCTATGACTTCACATGGTCTTTACCTCTGCACCTGTGTCCTAATCGCTTCTTCTAAGGAGGCCTAATAACCCCATTTTAACTTAACTACCTCTGTAAAGATTCCATCTCCAAACGAAGTCCCATTCTGAGGTACTAGGGGGTTAAGATTTCACAATTGAGCCTGCCATATGGTGTTACCTATAAGCAAAGAAAAGTAGAGTAGGAGGGTAGGGAGCAGGGTGAGGGGAAGGAGTGGAAAGGGAGAGTGTGCAGGAGGGGTGGGAGAGGAACGGGGAGGGGAGGAAGTAGGAGCAGTGAGAAGGGGGAGGGAGGAGGGAGTGGTTACTGGTTGGTAGACAGCTATATGGAAAGGGCCACCTGACAACTGTGATCTTCAGGACGCAGTTAGCTCACAGAGACCTCAGAGAATCCAGGATGGGGGCATAAAAAATACTTGAATTAATGCTTCTGGGCATTACCCTTTAACCAAACTGGAAGCCAAAGGGCATGGAAAACGTTTGATGTAATCTACCTTGGTAAGCTTGGACACAGAGCAGGGAGGAAAAATGGATCAGAGAGGACAGCTAAGATTTCTAGCACACGCACACCTGAAATAACCATAGTTCATACTTTGCCATATAGTCTTAGAACTATTATGCCCTCTGAGGGACCTAGGGCCTGGCCAACTAGAAAAGTTCTTAAGGACTCATACATTCAGAGGACAGTTGTGTAATAGTTCATAACACTCAGAAAACACTGTATAAGAGTTTGTTTCCTTCGTTCTTTGAAACTTTGAATAGGAGGCCTAGCAAACAGTTGGAGCTTAGCTCACACGCTTGAACTTGTTAGAAATATCACATTTTAAAATTGCCTTTAGGGGCACCTGGGTGGCTCAGTTGGTTAAGCGTCTGACTCTTGGTTTTGGCCCAAGTCATGCATGATCTTACGGGTTGTGGGATCAAGCCCTACATCTGTGCTCTGCACTCAGCAGGGAGTCTGCTGGAAGATTCTCACCTTCTGCCCTCCCCCCTGCACGTGCATGCATGTGCACTCACGCTCTCAAGTAAATAAATCTCTAAAAAAATAAATTGCCTTTAAATGAACATAAATAAGATCCTGACATTCAAATGTAGCACATTGCTGGGATGCCCACTTAAGTTGTTACTAGGGATTCCCTATCTCCATTAGTTGTACAAACATGCTATGGTCTGATCTAGCATGAGATTCCCACTGTCATCAGATACCTGATCACATTGGTTAGGGATCAGATGTTCATTTACTAAATTGGCATGATTTCTTCAGATCCATTGCTCCTGCCGCTTCTATCCGGGCCTCTGGATTAGGGGAATCTTTGTAAGACTAGGTGCGCAGCTTTCCTGAGCCCACCATAGTCTTCCTTGGATCCTGATTCGGAAAACTACTCATGTCTCCACTACTGGAAGGACCCACAAACCCTGACCTCTCTTCTCTTGTTGCCTTCAAATGCCCTCCATTCCCATCCAGAGACATCTGGCTTGATGTTACCAAGTAATACAATTCTTTTCAAGACATAAAAGCCACCGGCTTCAAGCAGCTTCTACTTCCAGCTCTGCCACAAATCTCCCTCTCCTGGATCTCTGTAAGAAATGGGAGGAGAGAAAAATTTAAGAACCCAACACACATGTTAATATCCCAAAGACCGATAATTCAGTCATTTCCAGTTAAGTTCATATGTGGTTTCTTTTTACTTTAGCTAATTTCTTCTTGTTAATTGCTTTATTTTTTTAAAGACAACACCTTAGGAATATTCAGGAGAGGCCTAAAGTACTTTATTAGGACCTAAAACAGGCCATCTCATTGATTAAAAAAAAGAAACAGAGGGCAATTATAATAAATGTATGCAAACTATTACCAGAATCTCTGTTGATTTAGCAAGTGTCTCTATTTTGAAGCCACACAGGTGATGTAGTTTCATCTAGCCATCTTGATGACTAAATGGCTTCCTTCTGAAACTGAAGGGTGGATCTGAGAGTTTATTTCTCCCATGAGATTCAGCACCTAGCTAAAGTGGTGGTTCCATAATAAATAGTTATTATAATTGTTATTTATTGTTTTCATCAATATCATTATCAACATAAATAGGCCCGTTTCCCACCCAGGAGAATGTATGCGGATTGGTACGGAAGGATGTTGTGAAATGACTCTCATGACACCCATCAAACACCTAGAAAGCAAAGAAGGTAGCCATTAAATAGGAGGCTTGTTTTGCCTAAGACAAATTTCTGGCACAGCATAAAAGTTCAAGGATGGTAATTCTCTCTCCTCTCTCCCTTCCCAAAAGGAAAGGGTGAAGACTATATTCCTAAGATCTGTGGTTCTCAACCTGAGGTCTCCAGACTTTTTTTTTTTTTTTTTTTTTTTTTTTGGTCTCCAGACTTCTAAGGGACTTTAAGGATACCATTAAGAATTGAAGACCTCGGGGCGCCTGGGTGGCTCAGCCGGTTAAGTGTCTGCTTTCGGCTCAGGTCATGATCCCAGGGTCCTGGGATCAAGTCCCGCATCGGGCTCCCTGTTCCGCGGGGAGTCTGCTTCTCCCTCTCCCTCTCCTTCTGTGTGTGCTCTCTCTCTCTAGCTCTCACTCTCTCTCAAATAAATAAATAAAATCTTTAAAAAAAAAAAAAAAAAGAATTGAAGACCTCATGAGACGCCTGGGTGGCGTCTGCCTTCAACTCAGGTCATGATCCCAGGGTCCTGAGCTCCCCCGCATGGGGCTCCCTGCTCAGTGGGGAGCCTGCTTCTCCCTCTGCCTGCTGCTCCCTCTGCTTGTGCTCAAGCTCGCATTTGCGCTGTCTCTCCCTCTCTCTCTGTCAAATAAATAAAAATCTTAAAAAAAGATTCTCTCTCCCCCCGCCCTTCCCCCTGCTCTCTCTCTCTCTCAAAAAAAAAGGAATTGAAGAGCTCTTTTCTTGACTTTCTTCTTTTTTTCTTAATTCATTAATTCATTATGAAGGTAACACTTAGCTGAGCTTTCTCTAGAATCAAATGAGATAATATATTTAAACGTGCATCATGAGCTATGAATGATAATGGTTAACAGTCTGTATATAGAAATTTCAGTTATTAGTAATTGTGCCTTTGTTTTTGTGAAAAAAAAATTCAAAATATAAAAGTGTTTAAGGAAGAGGACAGAAGTTGGAGACAGTCTATATTTTGTTAAAAATATAATTAAACAATTTAGAAAAAGTCTTTTTTTTAAAGATTTTATTCATTTATTCGATAGAGACACAGCAAGAGAGGGAACACAAGCAGGGGGAGTGGGAGAGGGAGAAGCAGGCTTCCCGCTGAGCAGGGGGCCTGATGGGGGGCTCGATCCCAGGACCCTGGAATCATGACCTGAGCCGAAGGCAGACACTAAAGGACTGAGCCACCCAGGCGCCCCAATTTAGAAAAAGTCTTAGGATAAGCATGAAAAGATTAAAAATAGAATGTGTTTATCAAATTAAAAAATAAAAATAGAATGTGTAAATTCCAAATTTCCAAAGAAAACTCCCTTGGTCCAAGAGAAGGCAGGAAAAGAGAGAAAGGGGAAAATGCAAAGAAAAAAACACGATAAACAGAAAACACAAAATAGGAAGGCAGAAGTACATCTACATCAATAATAATAAATGCAGATAGATTAAACTCATAGTAAAAGAAAATCTCAGATTGGATTTTTTTTCAAGGCACAGAATCTAGTTTCATGCTTTTTCTCAAAGATGCCCTTAAAATTATCCAGAAAAGTTCAAAATAAAAGGATGGAAGAATATATATTAGGTAAATACCAAGCTAAAGAAAGCTGGTGTAGGAAAATTGATACAAAAACACAGT